GTCAAGGTCTGATTGATGGCATCATCAGAAAACAATGCGACCTAACCTTTCCCTACTGAACATGTTTTAGAAATATTGGGAGATTTTCATACATACATATTGCTCTGTAACGTTTCAAGGTTATTTCTATCTACACCTACAATCATTTACACAAAGACAAATGAAGCACAAGCAACAATATCCCATTATATTACTATTAGCTATTGTTTATGAAAAAATGTATGTGTAATAAAATAATACTGGTTACTGTATACTTGATATTGTCTTGACAAAAGTTTGGAGTTTATCACAGATGAAGCCATATCTTTATAATTATTTTCATTTCCAATTCGAGCAAACAAATTACAGTTGCGACTCTGAGAAACTGAGATGATGCATTTAAACGTAATACATTTTCTCTGTCAAGTATTTCCTAACTTTATAATGATATTTCAAGTGAAAAGAAAGATTTATCAGTTGATTAAATAATTATATTTTTCAAGCAGAAAATTTAAATAGTTTCTATGTCGAAGAGATTGTAATGAAGTTAGTTCTATTGAGTTAGTTCTTCATCCATATAAAGTTATCCTTTCTTACTGCTCCAACTTCTAAATGCCTCTCAAAGAAGTTAGTTCTAATTCAACGATTGTTACTAATAGACTAAAACAGAAATAGCGTTACCTTTCTCGTCAAAAGTACTTCTGATGTTTCAATGGCAAAATGAAATCCTTCTTGAGAGGAACGAGTCGCAATTCGGCCTTTTTATACGCTTGGTGCCGTCATAGTCAGTGCTGAAAGGATGCTGTACAGAAGGATAACGAGCAAACAGAGCACCTTGCAGGTGTTGTTCCACCTATTACTTTGCTCACAGGATCACTAGTCAGATCTGATTGCAATGTTTCCAGGCACATCAGGACGTCAGGTCCGGCTTGGCAAAATTTCACATCTTTAAAGGATGACTAGTATGTTAGGAACATACATTTCTTGGTGTCTTTAAGATAAATTCAATCATTACTTGGAACGAGCCTATAGTGCCGGTGCTTATGCTCTCTCTCTCTCTCTCTCTCTCTCTCTCTCTCTCTCTCTCTCTCTCTCTCTCTCTCTCTCTCTCTCTCTCTCTCTCTCTCTCTCTCTCTCTCTCTCTCTCTCTCTCTCTCTCTCTCTCTCTCTCTCTCTCTCTCTCTCTCTCTCCTGTTGACTACAGTGTTGTCTGATATCACATGTAGATGTGCCATTTTCCCGTATACCGTACAAACAGACTTCAATGAGACCTTCCGCAGTTGACCTATATGTATTGTGTTCTGTGTTGGATGACCTCGTACGAGTGAAAGTTATGTCAGCATATGGTACACTGATACGACTATTCCCCGGGATTGCAAGGTTCGAAGTACCTCACGGTGCAATATTGATCTGCATTGTCCGATAGTGTTTATATTACGTTTTATGTGACACATAACGATCAGTGTATTGCACATTTACAGACATCAGTAATGCTCAGCTCAGTACTATTGATCCCGACAGGAGTGATTCTTACTACTGGTAATGATATTTTAATTGTCGATTACAAAACAAGGTACGTTGGTTGTTTGGATGGTTAGTTGGTTGTTTAACGCCACACTCAGCAATATTCCAGCTATATGGTGGGGGTCTGTAAATAATAGAGTCTGGACCAGACAATACAGGATCAACATCATGGACATCGTTCTACGCAATTGGGATATGATGACAGGTGTCAACCAAGTCAGCGAGCCTGACCACCCGATCCCGTTAGTCGCTTCTTAAGACAAGCTTGGGTTACTGAAGATCAATTCTAATCCGGATCTTCACGGGTTACAAGTACACTCTCACTGTTCAACGCATAAACTAGGAAGTTGCGTTATCGTGATCTTCGATTGTTGTTTAACACCGCACCTTTAAACGTATAATGACGGTCTGAAAACAATCGAGTCTGTACTAGACAATTCCGTGATTGACATGAGCATCGAACTACGTGGTTGACGTACGATTACATGCCTTGATGGGAGATGGGGTGTTTACCAAAATTATTAGTATATAGGTTATTCATTATTAAAATTCAAATGCGAACATTAACACATCCAGCTTTGGAACTTGTTAGTAATATAATTAAAATGCAGAACTGGCAAACAATTTCAGAAACAAATTCTCCAAATTTCCAAGTGAAATCACTGACAGTGTTTTGCACTGCTGAAAAGTATAATATAGTAAAGCACATAGATTCAGTCAGCAGTCTCTAACCTACCTAGTTAACTTTTAATTGGCTGAATCATTACATATATCAAAGTGTATGATTTAAGACTTATATTAGATCTGCTTTAATATCCCAGTGATTATCATCCTCTAAATGATGTCAATATATAGCAAATATATTCTCTGATACTGGCCTGGCTTCAAAACCATGAAAACTATAGTACTGAGGACGGTTTTATTGTTAAAAGTTGCCCTTAATTCAACAGTTCACGAACATATAGTCTAATGTACACCTGTCTAAAATCAATGTTACTCAGGAGGGGCTTTATTGTTAAAAGTTGCCCTCAATTAAACAGTTCACAAACATATAGTCTAATGTACACTTGTCTAAATCATTCCTCCTCATATTTTCTGTGCTTTTTCATTGTGATGTCTTAACATGATTACACTGTGTATATTTATATAGTCAGTGTTATCTAATAGTGTGTTTAACCTTTATATTGAGCAATTTATAGGTATATGTGTATATATTTGTACGTTGATAATTTCACCAAACAGTGAGTGAGTTAAAATGTAACATCATATTTCAGCGATATCGTGACGATTTACCTAATATGGATGTTTATTATTTTTTCATAAACATTTTTTTAATGATAAGGATATGGACACTTATTCATGTTCATGCAAAATGAATCCGACACCTTATGGCCATTGTGGTGGCGCGTGGTCCTGTGCTTAAAGCTCAGGTCACAAATCGGTGAAGTTAAGCAGCGTCGAGCTCGGAGAGTCCTTGGATGGGTGACCGTGTTTGGCAGCTTGACTCCTGAGAGTTTCTAGGACTTGAGTCCTGCCCAACAACGAAACACATGTGGTCTCACCTTAGGCAAGTGAGTTTGTTCAAAATTGTCTCTGTTCACCCAGCAGGAAAATGGGTACCCGGTCGAAAAAAGTCATATGACTATAACCTTCTAGCGCCTAACAGGCAGCTTGGGTTATCCGGGGTAATAATGGCCTTGGATTGTTAGCGCTATGAGCATACCTAGTGTGGAGTTTGGCGCTATATAAATGGACACATTATTATTATTATTATTATTATTATTATTATTACATTGTCCTGTTAAACACAGAATATGCATGGATCTATTTAAAAATTATGTCCAAATGATATATGTCAAAGTGATCAAAATAATAAAAATATTTTCTTCTGTATTGTCATGCCGGCATGTTTACAAGCACATAGTTCAAAAACACTGCATTGAAATTAATTAATTATGTCTTCATTATGTAATTAGAAAACAAATGCATAATACATGGCTTTTCATACGAACAAACATCCAGAGGACAAATATTAGAAGCAATGACCAACCCTATCATTAAAACCATTCGTATGGATTTAAACGCTTTTCCCAAGTTATTTTACTGGGTGTTCGAACAATATTGCCGCCAAACCCTCCTTGCAATGATGAAAGATATGGGACAAAATAGGCGACATTTGCGTCATTATATCTCATAAAATAAAGATGCTAACGATATTTAACTGATGTGGTCGTTCATTGAAGAAAGATCGACATCCTGAGCCATACTTACGAATCATCAACAGAGCCAAGAGGAGTCACTTGGCTAAACTGCGCTGCGGTAATCTACAGTCACGTATAGAACAGGTCGTTACAACAAACCCCCTATCCCCCTGTGTGAAGAATTTGTCCATTGTGTGATTGCGTGGATGACGAGATGCATTTTCTTTTGAATTGTTATTTTTAACAGGATCTTATATATCAGCTCATGAACGAAGTTTTTTACTTATGATAATAAAAATGAGCAACTATTAGATATTCTAATGTCGTCAGACCCGTTAGTTTTATCGTCAACAACATGTTTAGATGAGGACTTTCATATTTGTAAAAACCGTTTATCATCTTTCATATCAACTATTTATTATATCTGAATTTAAACCGAAATGTACATTAAGTTACACATGAGATTATAGTGTTTCATAAGCCTCAATGGCTGGGCGAATGAATAACTTATTGCCTTTGTTGTGTATTTTAATTAAGTAATCATTCGTGTGACACTTTTAATAAACAATATCTGTCGGTCTGTCTGTCATGTATTGTGTGTACGATTTGTGACAAGAGCCAGAGAGACGACTTTCGTGTCTCGAAACTCTTTAGGTAACGTTTTCCTTCTCTAAAAGCTAAGAGAGATGGGCGTTATTCTGGTGACGTATTCTTTGCTATAGTATCCATGAAAATAGTATAAAGAAAACTACTAACCTCCCGATCTTGGATTTATCCATAGTAAATGTAGGGCGTGTCGGGCACCATTGTGCAGTCCTTGGCGGGGTCGGTGAAGCGTAGCGCAGCCTACCCCGTAGACTACTTTTAGTTTGATATAAACAAGTAATTCAATTTAAATTGAAAAAGGTGCCCCAGTGAGTTGTGAGATTCAGGACCTGAACCTGAGGAAATCTGGACTTGCTTCCTTTAGGGCTTTCCAGAATTGGCTGGGTGGAAGGGAAATTAATGTGGTTCAGGGACTGTGAGACAGTCTGTTCCAAGTTTAGAGAAACACTTCCGCTTCTTGAAACAGGATAAAGGCTCACTATGTGGAAACGTGTGTGCTAACGTTTATAATTACTCGTTTGTTATCTGGACCGCGAGCCGCGAGCCGCGAAGGGGTCCTGCAGCCAAAGACGATAAATGATATGATCAAATTTAGTCATACACAACGCCTGCTAGTGTTAGTGATTGCTATTTATGAAAAACGCGGCTATTATAACATCCAGAAAACTGATCTTTTCATTTTGTAGATGGCGTCAACGTCTCCAGGCAGAAGCCGCCATTTGTTATCTCTGAATGACCAAGAACAGCCAGGCTTCCTGGCCAGCCTGACTTCCTCTGAAGATGGTGAGCCAAACATCATTAATGTGGACGAAACGTTACGTTAGTGTTCAGTGTGATGGCAGTCGAAATGCTATGTTAAATTAGATGTGAAGATCGGTGAAAATTATACGATTGAAACATGATACAATAGGCTGAGAAAGAACCGCATTGAACTCTGGGTACACTTCAGCATTTTGAAACAGACTATCATCTGCTATAAGGAAACGCTGTCATTGGTAATGTATTTCCCGCGAAATATGTTTATAATTCTCTTGTTATTTTGACCGTATGTCTTAATCATTACATAATGGATTTGTTGAGGCTACAAAACTTGAAAAAGTCGTTGTTGGCATCAGAGATGGACCAATCTGTTGTTGTTTTTATTTGCTTTATTTAACGTCGCACGCACAACTAAGGTATCTCAGCGACGGGTGAACCAGTCTGAATCTACTAGTGATATTTATAGCGACACATCCCGTCACGTATTAGGAAAATCCTAAATGATCATAGGTCAGCGCATTTACTTGTAACATCCAGAAAACTCATCTGTTCATGCTCTAGATGGCGTCAAGGTCTTCAGGTGCGTGTTGCCCTTTTTCATCTCTGGCCCAGAGCAGCCTGACTTCGTGGGAAGTTGGTGAGCCGAATTTCATCAATGTGGACGAAAGGTAAGTTTCGGTAATCTTAAAATATGTAAAAACTGATAGAAAATATTTATTTGACATGTGTTTCACTCAATGTATGTAGTGAAGCAAATGAGTTTAATCATCACAAAAATATCTTAAGCAAATCCTCGAGATCTTGCTCGTTTTGCTCCTTGAATAAATGCTGGGGCTATAGTCTTATTCATACCAGGGACCATGACTAAACGTTGTTTTCTCTCTACCATTGTGTTTTCCTTTAAACACCAGGGTGCCGTTGTACAAAACAACCGGAGCGCTAAGCCTACCTTAGGTCTACGTTAAGGTATGGGAGTTACGGTCACCTTAGGTCTACGTTAAGGTATGGGAGTTACGATCACCTTAGCGCTAAGAGTAAGACTACCTTAGGTCTACGTTAGTATGGGAGTTACGGTCACCTTAGCGCTAAGATCGCTTTGTACAACGGCACCCTGGTGTACAAAGTGTCGAGGAAAAGATACTCCCGGTCGTTTCTTCTAGGAAACAGGGTATAATTTATTCTAATGTCTGCCGCAGACCCGTGCCGGTAGCTGTCATATGAGCCAACGTGGTGGCCGTATGGGTTACATTGCAACTCGCGATCGCTGTCTCAAACAATTTGAATCATATCACATTGATTTGCTATAATAAATCGCAAACAAAAGCAAGAGGATAACATTTTTTGCGTTTCACTCCAAGGAAATGGTTGGAAACCTTATGATTGACATACATGCAGCGAAAAGCAAAAACAATTTGTCTCAGGAAACCTTTTTCAAGGTCAGAACAATACCTTCTAATGCAGCTTTAGTGATTTGGAAATATACGCTCAGTTCATTGCAGCAAAGCTAGAAACGTATATTTATTTAGGTCAATTTTATCAAACTAATTGTACTGAAAAAGGAGTGATACTTTCTTGTTCGGTTCTTCAACAAACTCGTCAACCACTTAATCATTATAAAAATCGCTGCAAATATGAAGTCACCGAGTTACGAGTGTGGACATGAGACACGTTTTCAAGTGCCTAGATTTTAATATTATGATGCTGCTCAAATTCTAGAGTTGTTTATATGTATTTTGATGCATTTCCATGTACTACCTATTTAATCCATCATATTCAAGAATGGCACGGTATACTTCAAAATTGGGACCAGTCATGTCCTTTAATTGCTGGCATATATGATCCCATAAGGGTTAGTGAGGATTTCTCTTCCAATACTTTTCTGCATTGCACCCAGAGGCATTGTCACTCACCATTTGACGTCCAACACACCTTGGCATCCTGTGCCTAGATTTTCGAAGCTCTCTTAGCGCTAAGATAGTCGTAAGTTAATGTTAATGTATGGCACTTACGACTATCTTAGCGCTAAGAGAGCTTCGAAAATCTAGGCCCTGGTTCGCGCCGATTATGCAAATGAAATTTACATCACATACATGTCATCAGGTTTGTTCAATATTACTTACTCACTCAGTTTACTCATTGCAACTTGTCAATCAGAAAGCTTGCTTTATTTGTGATCAACCATGATATTAACACTTGATATTAACACATTTACAGTTCCAAGGGACTATCAGAAATGATTTTGACTCCATTATACACTTTTAGCTGTTTGAATTTCTTCCAGTCTGTCTACCTAGAGTAGATATTGCATAGACTTAGTATCAAAGGTGTGCTTCTGTATGTGTGCAGCATTGCCAGACCAGTTAGACGTTCAGTGCTTTTTGTTGCACGTGTCCACAGCTTGATCCTTCGAAAAGTGGAGAAAGACCTTTCACAAGCCACACTGCCCACTACTATTTATTTATTTTTCCACCAATCAATGTTTGTGTATTCAATGTTTTGTGTGTTATTCTTTATTTGGTCTATCCTATCTCTTGGAGTCATGTGGATTAAATGCAAACCTTTTCTAGTTAAGTCTTTTGTATTGCACAATATGCGTTCAGTTCCGGGTTCCGGGTAGTATATGTCATTGCCTCGATTCTTTATATTTTTCATTAATGGTTGTTGTAGTCATATGTAATTAGGTGTATCATTCTGGTACCGATCATCTGTCACATGGGTTGCCCGCAATCTTTGCGTCAGTAATTGAGGTGTGGATTTCAGGCTTAGACGAGGGTATGTGACACTCAAAAAGAGTGTTATGTTAATTACGGCTGGATATTGCCCTGATTCTCATATCGCGATATATTGCAATAATTTAAGAGATATTGCAATGCATATTGTGATATATTGACTGGAATCTTTCTGTCCAAGTGCATACATCATACATTCATAATAGCTCTCTGTGTGCGACATCATCTTCTTATTACATATCATACTTCAGGATACCCGTCCACATTGTGTATGGCTTTACAGATAAATCAAGTATTATTGTCCGACTCTCCTATAAACTATGTAACAACAAAATGATAACAAAGTAGAGAATTGGATTAACAAAGGCCAGGTGTGGAAGGCGAAGCCGGACGCAGGGCCAAGCGAAAGCGATTTAAGTACTTGCTCTCCGTTGGACCCTGAACAGACGAGACAGGTAGCGGCGATGTTCTAAATGCTATTTTGACCACCCGAAGGTTGGAAGTAGCCTCTATTGGAAATTCTAGCACGACATGGTGTGATACTCGATTCTGATTGGCTGAGAGCTCATCAAAACCGTACTTAAATGGCAGTTTAAGACCGCTAATTAAAGTGACCGATTCGCCGCGTATGAATACAACGAACTCGTTGACCGTATTGTTTGTAAACAAACATTTTGCATGTCGGACATCGGCAATTTCTACCTCGGCAGCATCTTTGGTGTTTTTGAAGTAAAAAGCGAATGGTTTGAAGAAGAATTTCTTGACCCTAATCCCAGTGAAGAAACTACGAAGCTGGAAATTCCGTCAGCAGCGCAAAAGCGGCAGTATATTCAAACCGGGTACACATCTAGCGGGCATAACGTCGACAACACACGTCCTAACCTGACCGCTTCCGTCCCGGCCGTAATGCCCAGTCCTTCCACTTCCACTGTCCATGTATCCCACATTAAACGTTGCATGTCGGGTCTTTTCCAAATTGGGAATAGTAGGGTGGTTATCAACAATTATTTCCGTGAATAAAGTTAGCGGCGACTAAACTTAGCGAGTTCACGGTTTGAATTGGGGCGAGTCGATTGTCATACAGTAGGGGAGATCAATAATTCGCTTTAGAAAAATCAAATAATTGTACTTGCTCACAGTATAAACTGTATTTTTTTATTTGTGTATGCTACTTATTACAAATACAAACATTCTGGTTCCTGAAATAAAACATTTTTGTTGTTGAAAATGTCTTATTTTGTTCATTACACAACCTGTCCCTCAACGGGACGATTCCTAGCGATTTCCCGGTAAAAGGCCCCTTCACGCTTTGTGTTCTTGCGCGCCAAACAGTTCGGTTTTAGAACGACGGTTTTTATCAGTCGTGCTATACTAGCCACATAAAGAAACTGTTCATTGTCAAAATATTATCCCAGTTGATAAGTACGATAACAATGTCAAAGGTACATATAAACTTTAATGGAGGGATCATGAGACCATAACAAGTCGGGAGAATTTCAATTGAAAAGTCAATCACAATGACGTCACGAGTCCACAAGCGGGACAGGGGTCAAACGACCATGTCACAAGCTCAATAACGGGTATGTCCACCATCGGCATTGAGAACAGCAGTGCATCGACGACGCATAGAGCCTATCAAACGTGCAAGGCAGGCTTGTGGGGTGCCACGCCAGATTCTCTCAAGTTCTGTTGGAAGGTCAAGGACGTTATCTGGCGGATGAGCAACACGGCGTTGACGTCGATCCATCTCGTCCCAAACATGCTCTATCGGGGAGAGTTCCGGTGAATTTGCAGGCCAAGGCAGTAAGTCAACGTTGTGGTGTTGCAAGAAATCCATAGCAACCCTTGCCGTATGAGGGCGGGCATTGTCCTGTTGGAATGTTAACCCAGGGCCATGACGTTGCAGAAAAGGAATGACCACAGGTCGAAGAATCTGATCCTTGTAGCCCACACCAGTGAAGTTCCCCTGAACAATCACCAAAGGAGTTCTTTGGCGTGCTGTTATTCCACCCCAAATCATCACGGAATCACCACCAAAGCGATTCCTCTCCAAGACACAGGCCTGTGCATAACGTTCTCCCACGCGTCTATAGTCACGTTGAGGTCCATCACTATGGGAAATGTTAAACCTGGACTCATCTGTGAAAACAACATTTCTCCACCAAAACAAGGGTCTGCGGACATGATTTCGGCACCACATTCGGCGAGCTTGTCGATGACGTTGTGTCAGGATAGGCCGTATGGCGGGACGTCGTTGTCTGATCCCGTGATGACGTAAACGTTGTCGAACTGTGTTGGGGTGGATACGGTGAAGTCCTGGGATGGTTCGGGCAGTCATCACTGCAGTCTGAAACCTGTGGCGAAGATGGGTCACCCTTATCCAGATGTCCTGTCTTGGCGTTGCTACACGTGGACGTCCAGAACGTGGCCGATCGATGACGTCATTTGTGTTCTGGTAGCGTCTCACCAGTGCAGAAATGGTGTTCCGGTGGCAGTGGAAATGTGCAGCCACTTGTCGTTGAGACATTCCCCCACGGACAATCCCAACGACCTCATATGACGTTGTGCAGACGTGAGCCTTGGTATGCTATGCGGTTCAGTTCAATAGCCGTTTAATTTTTTGAACAATCGCAAGGGCAGGGGTTGAGCTTTCCAAAGTGACAGTATTGTGTGGCATTCATTTGCTCTGTTTCTCTTTCCCGGAATGCACGTGCAACAATGTACTGCCCGTCTCAAGGACGAACCCACTGACGTCACGGAACGTGGCACGTGCATGCATGTTGGATACATGTCACTAATCTCTGAGTTTAAATCCTTATGTGTCTACACAGGTTTGATAAATTTAGATTTAAATTATTTTTAATGCACAGTTTCTTTATGTGCCTAGTATAGAATGAAAATAAAGCTACTCTGTTTTCAAGTTTGCGGTCCTTTATCGT